ACTAAGATATAGACATAACTATATTATTTCTATTCAAATATAAATGTAGCTTAAAATTAAAATTAATGGAACTAGGTGTTGTGGTGCATGCCTGTAATCCCAGCACTAACTACTAAAGAAAGACAGAAAGACAGGAAGGAAGGAAAGAGAGGAAAGGAAGAAAGGAGGGAGGGAAGAAAATAATGAAGAAATTAATCCAAGGTAAAACAAATTTCTGTTTACAAAAAGTTCCCTATAGGTGTTTTGATTTGTTTTGCTGTAGAGATTTTGGAAATCACATTATCATGAACTATTTTCTTTTAATTAAAAAAAAGAAAACCTTTGTAACTTTCCTGACCTGAAGTGAGAACTAGTAAATTATTACATTCCTCATATCCAGGTATCAACAACTACGGAATGGAAAGTCAGAAAGGAAAAGTTTTGCATCTCAACTGGTGAGCAACTGCTTTCTTTTCCTCTGCTAATAAATTATAGGCAGACTTGAACAGATGTCAGGTTGGCATTCAAAATCTAAAATATAGCTGAAAAGCAAGTTATGACTAATACAAGGAAAAAAGATGAATGTCAGAAAGCTTCATTTTTTTTCTCCCCCTTTTTCAAATTTCAGATAAGCTCTTTAGCCTTAGGGTTCCTTTTACAGAGCCCTGGAGTTCCAAGAGATGTCTTAACCCCCATTTAAATTGCAATCTCTCCTCATGTGTGGGGGTGTGAAAAACGCATTTTAAGAGTGTCGGTGTTTATGTTAATCTTAGCAAGAACTCCCTTTCTCCCAAATATGGCATGCACAAAACCTTGTGTCCTTTCTTCCACTGTTTTATTTGCACTGTTCTTAGCATGTGAAAGATGTCTGGGTGTGACTGAAAAGCTCCGGATCTTCTCTGCAGCTCTGCTTCAGAGAGGAACTACAGCTTCACTTAGAATATCAGAAAAGAGTTGCTTTCCTCTTTAATTTCAAAAGGCATCTTTAAGAAATAAAGATTGAAAACGGACTTTGAGAAGAAGGCATAGGGAAAAGGGACCAAGGAGGAGGGAACAAGTCTTTGAGAAGGGGTTTTCCTCCCCACTTGTTTGCCGGGACATCCAGAGCCCTCAGATCCTGAAAAGCAGGGTAAGGCTGAGGCCCTGGTCCCCATACCCTCTTCCTTCTAGAACTCCAGCCAAAGTGCCTTTCTATGGGAAGATGCAACCCCACTCTCAGGATTACATCAAGAGACACTGAGTAATGTTATTCCAGTGTTCATGGAAGAGGGTTTGTTCTCTGGCTCTGACATTTACAGCTTGGAGATTGCCAGGGATGCTGAAAAATGAAGTTTATTTGTTGACACTCTCGTTGCCAAACAAGAGCTGCAATGAGAAGTGACATAATTCATCATTCACTTACGCTGGGCATTCTGCTCAGAACCGCATGTGGGGATAAGTGTGGTAACTGAACAGGACAGACAGCTGACATCTGAAGTGTTCCAGGACAGCAATTAACCACTGAATTCATTCACCTAAACTTCCAGACAGTGGCTTCAGATGCTCACTTTTCTATTCTAGGACTCAGATGGTGGTGTTTTATCATAAGGTAATTTCCTGACTCAACATTGATCACTGTGGGGGTTAGAAGACAAAATACAGGTTTAGTTTTCATAAAGTCCAAGGAAGACCTATACGCTTGGGTTTGGGTGACCCAAATGCTATTTTAAAAATAGGAACTAGTAATCCCTTTACCTATTTGACATTTAGCCTTTATCCTTCTTTCTATAGAACTTTAGCTGGCTTCTTTTTCCCTTTAAGAATTTCCTTTATTTTAATGCTACAAAAATATTTTAAAGGGCCTGGACAGCTGGCTCAGTTGTTAAGAGCACTCATTGCTCTTCCAGAGGACAGGAGTAAGCCACCCACATCAGGTGGCATACAGCTGCCTGCAACTCCAGGGGATCCAAGGTCCTCTTCCGGCCTCTGGGTGTACCTGCACACATGGGACATACACCACACAGACACGTACATATGAATAAAAATAAATTTTAAAAAACATTTTTAAAAAGCAAGAAGGTATATACTATGTACTATGCACTTGAAAGTGCACTTAAAGACAGAGATGCTAGATTGGAAGCAATGACAGCTGTTTACACATGTAGTACCTCATCTGATTTCTAGTTTTAATGCATAATTGTGTGTCTCTGGTTAAGCCACTTAGTGATCTCAAATCTCACAATATTCTGTATGTTTCTAACCTATATTTTTCAGTTTTAAAAAGAAAACATGAAATTTTACAAGCAAAAAGAAAGATATAAATTATCCCAAAGTATAACTATTGGTCTCATAAACACAGTGGTAGGAAGAAAGAAAATTATTAATTTGTCACTTTGTAAAAAGGAAATCTTGATATATATTATATACATATATAGGCAAAAAAGTCCTATTTAACATCCTTATTTGCAAAGTAAACATAAACTCCAGACTTCATTGAAAAGACAAGGATTTGTTTTTAAGCCCAAAATTAAGTTGTCTGCTTAAAAGTACCCTATAACCTACATAAATTATTCTAAGTATTTTTCTCATTTGATCTGATTCAAGTGATTATACACTAACTATTGAACCTTCAAAGTATATTATTTAATCCACTTAGTTAACAAAGAGTGAGAAAAAAAATCAACTAATTTTGTTTCCAGAGTAAACACATGGTATTCAAAAAAATATGTATAATGATCTCTGTATAACAAGATAATTATGTCTCGGCCATTAAATCACAAGTGATTTAGCTTTACTTTTTTTTTCAAAGATATTCTGAGTCTTTTTTTTAGTTTTTTGAGACAGGGTCTCCCTGTAGCCCCAACTGGCCTAGAACTTGCTATGTAGACCAGGCTGGCCTAGATCTCACAAGATCCACCTGCCTCTGCCTCCCAAATTCTGGGATTAAAGGGACGCACCACTACACCTGGGTAGACACTTCATTTAAAGCAAACATCGGATTTAAAAAAACATTCGCAGGGTGTGGTGGCACATGCCTTTAATCCCAGCACTCAGGAGGCAGAGGCAGGTGGATCTCTGTGAGATCTAGGCCAGCCTGGTCTACATAGTGAGGTCCAGGCTAGCTGGGGGCTACAGGGAGACCCTGTCTCAAAAAAACAAAAAAAAAAAAAAAAAAAAAATCAGCTCAAGAGCTAAGGTAGCTTTACTGTTAGCTGTCTTTTAAATTGATAGTACATGCTTCTTGATGACAGAAAGTCATAACGAAGGGGGAAAAGACTTCTAAAGAAATAAAACTTATTTTATGTTTTAAAATAGTATAACTATGAAAGAAAAGACAAATCCTAAGAAAGGCTCTGGAGAGTAGCACTCACAATCCAAATCCACAGCCCTTAGCCAAAATGTATGTGAGCAACAAAGAGCAGCTATCGTATTAAACTCATTTAAAAACGGGTATCAGAGCAGGTTAAATTCAAGAGTAAATTCCAACCCTGCTTGATTTAATTTCAATTTGAGAGGTGGCAGAGTCACAAATTGGCTGGCAGGGGTAACTGCCCAACCTCAGACAGACTCCCATTGAGCAGGGCTGGATAATGCACAAATAGAAAGCAGTATCTGGATAACTCAGTCTGCAACAGCTCCGCAACAACAGCTCTGCAATGTCGAGACGATGTTTATAAACAAATTCGAAGACACAGAGTACTACAGAACCAGTCATTTTCCTACTGGTTGGTTGGGTCCCACAAATGTCAAAAAATAGAATCTTTAGACTCTCCAACATCTCAGTTATAAAAACCAGTAAAAATGTTTCACAAGAATAACTTGGAACTTTAGAATCATCTTAAAACTTAAAAAATTTACTTTTACTCAAAACATATTTAAATAATATTTCCATGTCTAGATCAAAACACTTTAAGGATTTATTGTGCCTCAACATACACCTTACAACAGGGCACTGAACTGCCACATTTTTCCTATTTCCAAATTAGAATTCTGGTTTTCTATGGATTTGGCCTTTGTATCTTTCAGATAAAAAGTATGCTACTGCCATTTCAAGGCGTATAAAACTCAGGTGATGAGGGTCTCTGTCATTTTGTCTTAATCCAATTCTAAACTCGACCTTTACCCAGTGAACAGGTGTGTGCTATGCCTGTAATTTATCAGAGTGAGCAACCAGGAAGACAAGCTACCGACAATAGCAGCCTAATACAATCCAAGTGCTTAGTGCCTGCACAGCAGCTCTTACCCACCATGATGAATATACTTTTATCTCCCAGTAGCAATTTAAAGAGAAAGAACGATGAAGGTAGGGGAGCAGGCATTGTACACCTTTGGCTTTGGGGATCCTGTTTTCACACTCATAGTCTGCCAGAAGCTATTATAAATTCCTTCCTCAGAGGTTCTGCTGCTCACATTCCAATCCAGCCAAGGATACGGACGTGAAAACAGTCCTGACAGTATTTCCACCAGGCAAATAAAATCACTTCTCACAGATAAATTAAATAAGCCTTCGAGAAAAACATGACAAATGAACAGGGTATGTCTTTGTATGCACTATGGAAACTCCCATATGTATCCTGAATTTGTCTTTTTGAACCAGATTTATCTAAATTAAAAACTTGCCAGGTATCCACTTACTAGACATGACAAAGTGCTAATCAGAGACTGTTGTAACAGCACAGCAAAAAGAAGCAGAAGCTAACAGCAGCACACTGCTCACAACCTAACAGACAATGCCAATTCATCAGGTAAACCCGACCCATTGTGGAGCTTTAGAATCAGGTAACAATCCTAAAAATGCCCACAGAAAACCATTCTAAACTAAATAAAATGGAGTGACCACAAATATTTCTATTACTTTCCCATAAAATTAAATGTTTTGAGACTTTTTCATAAAACCCATGTTTTATTTTTTTAAGAAGTTAAAACTAGAAATACTTTGGTGGGTTTGGAAAATAATTTTAAAGCTACTGAAAGGAGAGTCTCATCACCCGCACATTTTTCTAACAGCACAAGCGTTTGTCAAATTTTCTGTTTGAACTCACCCATCTGCTCCACAATCTCTGGAGGAAATACTCGAGAAGCAAATGCTCGTCGAAAAATGTCTGAAAATTCTTTATCCAGACCTCCTATTCCCATTTTTTCAAAGTTCCAGTCAGGATTGATGATAGATTGACGATTTTCCTTGGTTTTAGCTTTGCCTATGTCAAACAAATATAATCAAATGTGAAAAGAGAATTTTATCATTAAGTATAAAATGATAGATACTGTCTAGACATCATCACTGACCAGACAAGCTACCATCATGCAGAGGCAAACAGCATGTTCTTGGCTGATCTAGTAAGAAGGGTAATAGTGCCTTATCTACTCTGGTCCCTGTTCACACTCAGTGATAAGGTTCCAGAATCAGCTAAACTTATGCTCTAGTCTACTGGTAATCGGTCCACAGAACTTGGTTTTATTAACTATTAATCCAATCAAACTGACTTAGTTGATGAGAAGAAACAGCATATGCATATCTGATGTAAACAACACTAGCTGCTAGAGATACAGCAGTTAGCACTCCCTCAAGGTTCCTAGTAAGTGAAATAAAACATGTTTATCTAGAGTAAGCTACTTGATGGCTAACACCTCAGCCTGAGAAGATACACTGAGCGACTTTGATGTCCTACTTTTTCTATTCACCTGTACACAAAAGTCTAAAATCATCCTAAAGATTTAATGATTCAAAAATTCATATTTATAACTTCTCTCATAAAAGCTGTCTAATTAAAATGTCAGAGTGCCACCTAAAGTAACTCAAGAGAACCACATCTAATTCTAACACAAAGAATAAGGTATATTAACACAGTTTAAACAAAAAAGTGAAAACAGAATTTTTATAAAGTTGGGGAAGAATATCACATTATAAAAAAAGTTTAGATGGTAATTTTATTGTTAGAGCCTTTGTGGATTTAAGATTTCCCTTAGAAAGCAATCAAAAATATTTTTGCTTACATTCTACTGCCCTCTGGTGGTCAAATTTACTGCATGCCAACCTACAACACAATTTTATTTTCCAACTGAAATCACACTTTTACATAGATTACTTGACAACACCTTCACTGTACAAAAATTATACAATTACCTTGAGATACGATATTTTAATACAAGGTGTATGAAAATAAAATACAAGGAAATTAGATGATAAACATACTGGTTCAAAAATAGGATATTAGGGGCCGGGCGTGGTGGCACACACCTTTAATCCCAGCAAGGCAGGCAGATCTCTGTGAGTTCAAGTCCAGCCTGGTCTACATAGTGAGTGCCAGGACAGCTGGGGCTACAGGGAGACCCTGCTTCAAAAAGACTAAAAAAAAAAAAAAAAAAAAAAATGAAAGAAAGGGGCTCCGAGATGGCTCAGCAGTTAAGAGCACTAACTGCTCTTGCAGAGGACTTGGGTTCGATTTCTAGCACCCATGGTGGCTACGAACCGTCCTTAACTTTAGTTCCAGGGAATCTGAAGCCCTCTTCTGACTTCCGTGGCATTGCACGACACAGGTGCACTCACATACATTCAGGCAATACACTCATACACATAAAATAAAAATAATAAAATATTTGAAAAAAAGAAAAAGGATATTATAATATATCCAGGACTCACTTAAAAAATGACATTAAAAATCATATTGTTGGGACTAGAGAGATGATGCAGTGGTTAAGAGAACTGGCTGCTATTGTGGAGGATCCAGGTTCAGTTTCCAGCACCCACATGGTGATTAACTGTCCATAACTCCAGTTCCAGGGGATCTGATGCCTTTTTCTGGCCTCTGCAGGCAAGGCACAACACAAGTACATTTACATCCATACAGGTAAAACACTCATACACATCAAATAAAAATAAATCAATCAAAAAATTTTTAAAAATCATATTATAGAGATATATTTAAGATGCTGGAAATGCATTAAGTAAAAAAAAAAATTAAATTAAGGACAGGTCAGATGCTTCAGTGGGTTAAGGCATTTGTGGCTAAGCCTGACAATCTGAATTTGATCCTGGGACCTACAGGGTAAGAGAGAGCAGGTTCCCAAAAGTTGTCTGACCTCCTTCCAAACACACACACACACACACACACACACACACACACACACACACACTAAATGAATGCAATAAAAAGTTTTAAAGAATATAAAATAGTCTAAAAGTAAAATCAAATTTCGAATGTGAGTTGCTTTTTAAGAAATGTCTATTATGCACACTTTTAAGGAAAAAATAAGCCAAGCATGGAGGCATATGTCTTTAATCCTAGCAAGCCAGAGGGTGAAGCAGGAAGATAACATTCATTCAAAGCAGTCTGGGCTGGAGAGATGGCTCAGCAATTAAGAGCAGGGACCTAACCAGAAAGTTCAGTTTCTGGCAGCAGCTTACAGTTAGTTGCCTGCAACTCCAGTTCCAGGGGATCCACTGCCCTCTTCTGGCCTCACGTGTACATACCCACACACAGAAACACATAATAAAAAATAAAAGCTTTTTTTTTAAGTGGGAAACCGAAACAGGGAATGGCAAATTATGGATCAGAAAAAAAGGAAAGTCACATATTTTTTTAAAGCTACTTTCTTTTTTTAAAAAAATTTTATTTATTACTTCTGTGTTCAACTGTGCTACACGGGCGCATGATAATCAATCATAAATAATTACTGTACCATTAGTTAAGTGAATTACTAGTCTTGGAGATTAAGCTGCATTATTTTAATATAATAAAAATAGGACTAACACATAAGAACCGATCCCACTGGAGTTTAATTACATAATCATCACTTGATAATTTTAAAAGAGTGACGATATTTCATGTAACACCTGTTCCAAGCAAGGGACTGACCAGTGCTAAAGGACACAAAAGCAACGCAATTCTGAGGAACTGTCGGAGATGGGAGAAGACTCAGACAGAGCAAGTAAATGCAGTGTGGGATGATCCTGAAACAGATAAGGCATAATGGAAAAATTGGCAAGATCCGAAGTCTGCAGTTCAGGAGGAAGCAATGAAACTGTATGACTGCTAGTTGATACTGTGCTATGTTACTATGTGACATTCCCATCTGGGAAACTGGTGAAGGGTATACAGGGATTCTCTGAACTGTTTGTAAATCTCTAAAAGCCAAAAACTATCTCAAAATTTCAAAGTTAAGAAATTAATTTCACTGTTGCTTTTTTAATTTATTATTTTATGTGTATGCGTGTATTGCCTGCATGTAGCAAGTGCACCCTTGCTTTCTAATCAGTTTTGGTATAGCTATGAGAAAAGAAAATGAAGTATCACATGTGTTTCACATTCTATTTCTTCACATTCTTCAGATGAAGGCTTTAGACTTTGGCATCAGCACATCTGATAATACCAAATACCCTATGATTTTGTGACAAGCCTTTTTTTTTGGGGGGGGGGGGTTGAGATAGGGTCTTCCTGTAGCCCCAGCTGGAACTCACTATGTAGACCAGGTTGCCTGCCTCTGCCTCCCAAGTGCTGGGATTAAAGGCATGTGTACCACCACTGACTCTACCTTATTGTTGGAGACAGGGTCTCCCTGTAGCCCCAGCTGGCCTGGAACTCACTATGTAGACCAGGCTGGCCTTGAACTCACCGAGATCCGCCTGCCTCTGCCTCCCGAGTGCTGGGATTAAAGGTATGTGCTGCCACACCCGGCTGATAAGCCTTTTTTAAAAACTGCTTTTTAAACTTATTTTTATTTTATGTGTATGAGTGTTTTTGCCTGCACATAAGTGCACCCATGTTGTACAATGTCTGCAGAGGCCAGAAGAGGGCATCAGATCTCCTAGAACTGGAGTTAACAGACAGTTGTTAACTACCATGTAGGTGCTGGGAACTGAATCCAGATCCTCCACAAGAAGAGCCAGTGCTCTTAACCATCTCTCCAGCCCTGTCATAAGCCTCCAAAAGGGAGGTGCCTCTCCTCTTCCTCATGTGAAAATCACTTTTTATAATTTTCTAAAAACTATAAATCTTACCAATAAGATTGAGTGATGAGTTTTCTGCTTTTTCAAATGCAACTTGACTATTTCCAACAACCAATCCTACTTCAATCTGCACAAAAAGATAATAATTAGTAGGCTAAGAGACTTCTCAAATCAAGGTTAAAAATGAAGGAAAATAAAGTTTTGTACAAAGCAAATCTTACAACCTATCATTTGAGTTACATTTATTTTTCTCATGGCTACAGTCTACAATTCCTACGTGCTTTATTTCAAAGTCTATCTTTTCAATGACCCTCTTCTTTATAATAAATAGCTGTATTCAACTAGGATTACAAGTACATATGCAAATTTCTATTAGACCTGCAGTTAAGTATGCTTTAATTTCTATTTTAGTAGGCATGCTGGCAATAAAAATAATGCTTTCTTCTGTTTGAATAGAAAGAACACACAATATGAACAATTACTCACCAAGAGAATAGTAAAGAACATATTAATCTGCATAAGTCACAACATAAAGATTAAATAAAGCTTACCTTCTGTCTTTTACCCGTCGCAGCCTCTCCTTTCAGGATGCTAGGATCCATGGCTTCAATATCCTTTACCAGTAAACCAAAAAGCTTTTCATTGAAGCTAAACACAAGCTATGGAAAAAACAGTATTACGAGGTAAATTACTTCATGATACAATGGCTTCTTACCATATCATCAATGCTTTCCAAATACGATAAAAGTTTTCTCTTTTTATCAGTCTCTGACCTTCTCCACAATTACACTCTTCAGAGTCAACGACAGGAAAAGAGAACTGTTTATTAAGCATGATAGGGGTTCCATAACCAACACTCACAAACACTTTAGGAAACTACTAGTAAGAAAGCTGAGATCCAGAAAAGCTCAGAGGCACAATAAATGATACTTCCAGGTCAAACCTGGGTCTGTGATTCCAAAATTCAACTGTTTCTATGAACAATACAAATGCTTACCACACAAGTGCAGACAGTTTTGAAAGCTCAATCATTAATTCACCAAATACCTGCAGAGTACCTTCTAAAGGCTGCCCTCTTCTATGTTCTGAAGTATAATACTAAATGCCAGTTCTGTCTCTGCTAAATATGGCAAAGAACAATGCTCTGGGGTCAGATGTTTCTTTGTGTTCTCAAGTATTTTCCTCCATGGATTTATTGACATCTATGTGTTACTGGGTTTTTAATTATTACAAATACCAAAGCAGTTTCTATTGACTCTAAATTAGTACAAATACCAAAGGATTTTCTATTAAGATACAAAACTATTACAAATATCAAAGCACTTTCTATTAAGATATCAAAGCTAAAAAAAGTCAAAGGTAAAAACAATGTCAGCTACTCAGTAATCTGAATACTACTAGTCAAAATATACAGGAATCCAGAAGGAATATAGTGTTGTCCAAAAAACAATGGGCAGGTAGTCAACAAATGGACATTTAAATGGCACCTGGGGGCCTTCTGGACTACCTAGCACAAAACAGCAGCAGCTTGGGAGCAGCATCAGGGTCATTTATGTCTGAGAACTTCACAGTACTCAGAGCTCTTTCTTCTGTTTCAATTAGAAAGCAAGCTCTCCAACAGCAGGGATTGTGTCTGGTTTGTTCACTGCTGATCTGCAGTGCCTAAAATACTGACAGGAACATACTTCATGCTATTAAGTATTTATTTAGCTCTTAGCTATGTCTCTGGCTGCATGAGCACGTAATTCCATGTTCTCTGGACCTACATGTCCTCATTTGTGAAGAGGTTTGACAAGATAATCTCTGAGGTTTGTTCTAATTCTAATACTCTCTTTAAAAATGCACTGTAGGGGCTGGAGAGATTGCACAGCAGTTAAGAGCACTGGCTGCTCAGGTAGAGGACCCAGGCTTGGTTCCCAGCACCCACCTGGCAGTTAACAACTATCTGTAACTCTTGTTCCAGGGGATTCAACACCTTCTTCTGACCTCTGCGGGCACTGCATGTCACAGGTGCACTTATATGCATGCAGACACTACACTCATACACATAAAGTAAAAATAATAAAGAGAATATTTTTTTTACTTAAAAAAAATTATTTATTAGTTTTATTTTATGTGTACGCGTGTATTGCCTGCATGTAGGTAAGTGCACCCATGTCGTGCAATGCCCACGGAGGACCAAAGAGGCTATCGGATGGATCTCCTGGGACTAGAGTTACAGACAGCTGTTAGCTGCCATGTGGGTGCTGGGATTCGAACCTGGGTCTTCTGCAACCAGTGTTCTTAACCGCTGAGCCATCTTTCCAGCCCCAAGAAAATATTTTTTTAAAAATAAAAATGCACATAGTCTAGGCCAGTGTGGTGGTATAGGCCTTTAATCCCAGCACTCAGGAGGCAGAGGCAGGCGAATCTCTGTGAGACAGAGGTCAGCCTGGAATGGTTTACACAGTGAATCCCAGGCCAGCTAGGGCTACAGGAAGACCCTGTCTCCAAAACAAAACACACCGTATTTTGCTGGGTATGGTGGTGCATGTCTTTAATCCCAACACTCAGGAGGCAGAAGCAGGCAGATCTCTGATTTTGAAGTTAGCCTGGTCTACATAGTAAGTTGTAGCCAGCTGGGGCTACAGGGAGACCCTATCTCAAAAAACAATCAACAACAACAAAAAACCCCATTGTATTGAGTTCCTGTATATCAATTATTTGGGTTCCACTTGCAAAAGTTTGATATTATAATACATGAATACATTACTTAGACTGTTAGTCTCCTAGCTTTATCAGTTAGAAAAGATGGGGAAATAAAACCCCCACTCTTTCACTCCAACATACTCTCACTCTGATCTTAAGTTATTTTCCCAAGGCAGAGCTGCAAGAGCAGCAATGAGAATGCAGGACACCTGTATTTCCAATCATTTTGGCCTCAGGATCCTGTTATTTACTCATTTTTGAGAACGTCTATCTGTTGATATTTCCTACAATGGAGGTTAGAATATTTAAAATTTATTCATTTTAAATAAAACTACTTTCTAAAATAAAAACTGTAGGTGAAAAAAAGTGGCAGTGTCCCATTTTGCACATCTCTTTAACATCTGGGTTAATGGAGACAGCTGGCTGTTCTCGTCTGCTTTGGCAGGCAAGGTGTTGTGCTAGCACAAACCACACCATCTGTGCAGAATGCCACCATATTCGTGTAACAGAATTAAAGAAAAACAGCAAATAACACTTTGGTATTATAAGTAGTTTTGATTTTGTGAATCCCCTGGAAAGGTCTCAGGGGCCCCCAGAAGGCTCCCAACTGCATTTTAATTTGTGTGTGTATATCTTGCTTGCATGTAGGTAAGTGCACCCATGTCATTCAATGCCCATGGAGGCCAGAAGAGGGTGTCAGATTCCCTAGAACTGGAGTTAGGACAGTTGTTAGTCGCCATGTAGGTGCTGGAAACTGAACCTGGGTCCTCTGTAAGAGCAGCCAGTGCTCTTAACCACTGAGCCATTTCACTAGCCCCCTCAGCGTTTTGAAAATTGTTGCTATGAAACTGTAGTTTGAGAAAGGAATCCAGAATAATTAAGAAAAACACAAAGACAGTATGTGGTGGCTCATGTCTGTAACCCTAGTACTCAGAAGGCTGAAGTTGTTGGACTGTGAGTTTGAAGCCAGCCTGGGCTACATATATAATAAGACCTTGTTTCAAAAAACAAAGTCACAAGTAAGACAAATGTAATGGTAAGGTCTAAAGAACAACTATTTACATGTATAAACCACTTATAAAGTCACACTTTTTTTTTTTTAAATCTTTTTAAGACAGGGTCTCCCTGTAGCCCCAGCTGTCCTGGAACTTACTAAGTAGACCTAGTGGCTGTGATTTTCTAAAACAGTTTGGGACAGTATTAAGTAATTATTTATTTATTTATTTATTTATTTATTTATTTATTTTTTGAGATAGGGTCTCATATAGCCCAAGCTGGCCTTAAACTTAAGCAACTGAGGATGACCCTGAACATTTACCCTCCTGCCTCCACCTCCAAGTGCTGAAATTACAGGTATGTACTATCACATCCAGTTTTATGTGGTGCTAGGCCTAGGGATGGAATCCTAGGCTTTATGCATGCTAGAAGCACTCTACCCAGTGAGCTACATCTCCAGTCTCTAAACTCACACTTTATGTTTAAAATAACTTTTTCTTAGGAGGTTAATCATCTGATATACACTAAAGTGTAAAACGAGGCAACACTGGCAAATTTTTCAACAAGAAAAAGACTAGGCTTCAGAGGTTCTGTAATAAACTTGATAATGTATGTACATAATTTCCTTAAGACTCTAAGTTCAGAAACAAAAAAAGTTAAGAACTACTACTATGTGTGTGGGTGGGGGTGTTCATGTGTGTACAGGTGTGGGGGGTGGAAGCCACAGGTCAACCTCAAGTACTGTTCTTTTATTACTTTCCACTTCTGCTTTTTCTACCTTAGTTTTATTATTTGGTCTTTTTTGGAGACAGGGTTTCCTTATAGTCCCAGCTGGCCTGAAACTCACTATGTAGACTGGGCTAGGCTGGCTCTCATAGTTATCTGCCTACCTCTGCCTCTCAAGTTACAGGGATTAAAGATGTCCAGCTTTTTACCTTATCTTTACAGTGAGGTTTCTCAAGTAACCTGGAGATCACCAATTTGGCTAGAGAGCTCCAGGGACCCTCCTTTCTCCACCTCCCCACAATGGAATTACAAGTGTATCCCCTCACTCCTGGTTTTTTATGTGGTGCTAGAAGTCAAACTCAGGTCTTCATTCTTGCTTAGCAGGCACTTTACCAATTAAGCTATCTTCCCAACCCCAAGAACTACTTTTCTAGAAACATACTAGTAAAAAAAGACATCCCAGAAACAAAAAGTCCTGCAATGAAAAAAGAAATAAAGCACTCCTGACATCACACATCTACAGTGTTCTTAAACTTGCAAGGAGAAAAACTGCTATGGGTATATGACATCTTAGCCTAAAGCTACTTTAAAGATTATTTATTTTATGTGTATATGTGCATATATATGCTGTGTGTGCGTGCATGCGTGTGTGCATGCGCGTGCGCCCACAGAGGCCAGAAGAGGGCATGTGAGTTGCCTGATGTGGGAGCTGGAAACTGAATTCAGGTCCTCTGGAAGAGCCTGCCTCTGCCTCCCGAGTGCTGGGATTAAAGATGTGCGCCACCACACCTGGCATGGGCATGTTATTTTTGTCTTCACATGGTCTGTGGCTCCCAGTTTTTAGAGATCATTTTAGTTTCTTGGGGCTATAAACCTCAGATATCAGTTAGGGCGAGGAAGGAACACTGGAAAAGGAATGTAGGGGTAGAACTTCTTTAGAGCGTTGACTGCTTTTTGTGTTCATTGTTTTCTTAAACTCGCCCCTCCTTTGCTTCCGGTTCTGGTTAGTCTCTGACAGCTACTAACCTCAAGCCTCTTGTGAGTTCTGTGGTGCACACTGTTGCTCAGATGTTCTCACTATGGGTTTGGGATTTGGATGTTCCTGTTCTGCTGGATAAATCTGTTTCAAGCTTCCAAAATGTCTCGATGTTCATTTCCTGTTGCCCTAACCAAGTTTAGATTTCAAAATAATCATTTGCTGTGGTTTTAATGCCATTTCTGGAGGACACAGAATTAGATGCACGTCTTCAGTTTTCAATGTCTGTCTACAAAGTTTTTTGTTTGTCTGTCTGTTTATTTGAGACAGGGTCTCCATGTAGCCCCAGCTTGCCCAGAACTCCCTATGTAGACCAGGCTGACTTTGATCTAATCTATAAGTTTTTAATTAAAAGAAAGAGTTTGGTATTTTGATTCCTATTTGAATTGTTGCCATCTTGACACACTCAGAAACCACTAGAGTTGACCTTAATGTTAAGAATCTTTACTTAGGTTGAAGGAATTGTTAACATGGTGGTTGAGAATGGTAAAGGGAAAACAACTATTGTTGAGACAGAAAACTGTAGGAAACAGCTGCCTGCCATTCCTTGGTCTGTAGGGACAAAGAGAAGTTAGAATTGCTGAACTTGCTTAGCAAAAGAGTTTTCTGGAGCTGAAACGTGGACATCTGAGGACCCTGGTGGAGCTGGCTGTGAATGCTGGAAAACTGGGTTTAACTGCTTCTGGCCTCAACTGCTGCTCTGGGGTGAGGAAGTCATACTGTTGGTGACAACTGTCAGGCATAGTAGGGAAGTAACAGGAAACAGGAGAGTGCACCCTCCTCTTGTGGCTTTGAGATCTCTTCTGAAGGCCTCTAAATGCAAAAGCCTGAAAGAGATTCAGCTGGCAAAGGAGAAATACAGTTTGCAGAGAGCAACCAGCTGCAAAGTGCCCTTGAGGCTGCAACAATAGCTTGCTAGCAGGTACAGGCCATCCTTCTGGCTATTCAGGATTTGTGTGCACTCTACAGAAATACTTGAACTTCTATAAAATCACAAAATTAGGTCTGCTTCTACCTTCCTGCAAGCAAAGTCATTCTCATTTCTTTGCAAAAAGAAGACATAAAACCCAGTGACAATTGTACACACATGTGGGAGACAATCTGAAGACCCATTTCTGTGTGATATCAATTACAGTTCAAATTCAGTTGGAGCCTATCTGAACATCTGTTTCTAAACACTATCTATTGGGTGGTGAGATGGCTCAGTGGGTAAGGGCACTTGCTACCAAGTCTCATGGCTTGAATTCAATCCCTGGATCTCACTTGGTAAAGGGAGAGAACTGACTCCTGAAAGCTGTCCTCTGACCTCTATTCATACATTATGACATGTGCCCCCCCCACAAATAAAAATATATTTAAAATTTTTTATTTTGTGTGTATGTGTGCTTTGCCTGCATGTATGCAAGTGTATCAGGTATGTGCAATGCATGCAGAGGGTGGAGCTCCTGGAACTGGAGTTACAAATGGTTAGTCACAATATGGATGCTGGGAACCAAACCCAGGTCCTCTACAAGAGCAGTGGGTGCTCTTAGTCACTGAGTCATCTCTCCAGCCTCTAAATTTTTTCCCAAAGGTTAAATAAAAGGCTAAAGATTATTCTTTGATTACCATTGACCTCCTCAGTTGGTTCAGCATTTGGATTGGGGAGAAAGAGGTTGTTATATATTGACCTTCTTAAATCTCCAAATGCATGCTTATAATCGTTTATTAGCTAGTATGCAACTCACATTCCTAAGAACAGCTTAAGTGGGTTCTAATTTTTCTATGTCATCTGTTTATGACAAGCTTTTAAATTTTGCCAGCCTGTGAATGAAAATGAACTCAGAGATCCACCTGCCTCTGCCTCCCGAGTGCTGCGATTAAAGGCGTGCGCTACCACGCCCGGCAAGTGTTCTTAACCACTGAGTTATCTCTCTTGCCCCCTAAAGCTACTTTAAAGCTTTTCTAACAGATTCCTAAAGGTCCATAAATTCATTCCTCTCACTGTTTATCACTCATCTTGAATATACATATTCCTACACAAAGCTCCTCTTAGTTCTTACAAAGTAGAATTTTGAGCACTGGTAGGAATTAGAATACTTATAAAAAAGCAAAGCTACACTACCTGTTGTCCCACTGAGAAGGCCTGGTTGTTGAACTGCTGGATAAACTCTGCCGCCATCTTGTCAGTGTCATAAGGGTTGGAGTCAATATTCTTTTTCTGTAGGAAGTCAATCTCGATGGTCATTGTACCAATGCACTGTTTGGCTTTGTCAAATGTGTAAGAGGAAACTGCGGGGGGAAAAAAAGCATTTTTAAAAAATCATAAGGACACCAAATGTGTTTCTAGAAACTAAAAGTTCGATGTAAGTAAATATAACTGTATTTGACCAAAAGGAAGTTAGTTTCATGTGGCCTTCATTGGACTTAAAAATTAATAAATGTTAGAGATTTCCTTCCTGTACCTGAATTAAGGAGAAAATATTAAATAATGCTCTCCCTTACCATTTACCCTCATCTTTCCATGGCAAAACCCCACAGCTCTCTTCACAGCCTCTGCTCCTCTTCCTCCCCCTCAATAGAGGTCCAAGTGATAGGGTAGGAAGCCTCAGTGGAGTTGGCATAGCATGTGCCAAAGATGATTGTTTAACATAAGAATATGCTCCTATGAGAGGTGGCAGATTCCTTGCCCTAAGAAAGTATGTAAGAGGCAGGAAGTGAGGAAAAGCTTGAGGAACAATGTTTGCTAGGGGATTTCCAGTAGTGTAAGCTAAAGTGTAAAACTTTTTAAAAAGTTTTTAAAAAATTTTATTTATTTGTATTTTATGTGTATGAGTGTTCCACCTGGTGTGTGTGTGTGTGTGTGTGTGTGTGTGTGTGTGTGTGTATGTAAGTGTATCATGTACAGGCAATGCCTGTAGAAGCCAGAAAAGGGAGTCATATCACCTGGAACTGGAATTATGGGTGGTCAGTTAGGTGCCATGTGGGCTTGGAGAACAAAATCTGGGTCTTCTGCAAGAGCAGCAGCAAGTGCTCTTAACCTCTGAGCCATCTCTCTGGTCCCACACTTCTTTAACACTGCAAATATGTTTACTGATCCCCTACTATATCAGGGAACTACATGTACAAGATGTAGAACAGAGCCAGAGTCATGTTTTTAAATCACCTCTGTATTAACAGCATAAAACAATGTCTTCTAGGTGCTTAATATATGCATGAACTGTTTTTTTAAATATTTTATTTTATTTTATGTGTATGAGTACATTGCCTGCATGTATATGAGTGCACCCATGTTGTGTTGTACAATGCCACAGAGGTCAGATGAGGGCTTCGGATTCCCCTGGAACTGGAATTAAGGATGGTCCTTAGCCACCATGTGGGTGCTGGGAATCGAACCAAGGTCCTCTGCAAGAGCAGTCAGTGCTCTTAACCACTGAGCCATCTCTGCAGCCCCATATTTATGAACTGTTTAAATGAAATGACAGGATGCTGCCCCCACCTTCATGCTAATAATAAAGCACACAAGCCTCTATACATACAAGGCAAGTAAGTATGTAACAAAGCTTTAGGTACAAAAATTTAAGCCAAGTGAAAGGTTCTAAAATAACATTTAGATTACAATGTCATAAACCTAAATATTAAAGCATTACATATAATTTTATATCATAGGTAGTCAACCAAAAATCTTTAATTATCTAACATATAGTTTATATATTGTATTGGTAGAAAAACAGGTATTAAAAGAAATTTTCTTGATGACACATAATTACAAAGAAGCACTGAAGAAAAGGTTGATTTTTAAATCAGCTTGTAAAACATGATTATAAATGCCAATTTCAAAACAAACTTTTTTTTTTTTTTTAGTAGATTGTTGTTAGCCACTATGTGGGTGCTGGGAACCAAACTCAGGTCCTCTGCAAAAGCAGCCAGTGCTCTTAACTGCTAAGCCATCTCTCTAGCTTCTATAAACAAGCTTTTAAATAAAAAAGAATTACATTGCAACATATTATATCAGGATCATTAGGAAAGAGTATACAAGTTAGAAAGGGTTTTTGCATTTATCTTTCCCCGGCAGGGCAACTTGATTACACGCTATACAAAAAGTCCATTGGTGCTCTTCAGCAGGGCTAATGTGCACACATTTCACTTTCTTCTTGTGCTACCTTAAAACTGCTGTTCTTTTTTTTTAAGTATTTTATTTATTATTTTTATTTTATGTGTATTTGTGTATTACCTGCATATAGGTAAGTGCACTTATGTCATGCAATGCCCGCAAAGGACAGAAAGGCTGTCAGATCCCCTGGGACTGGAGTTACAGACAGTTGTTAGCTGCCATGTGGGTGCTGATATTTGAACCCCAGTCTTCTGCAAGAACAACCAGTGTTCTTAACCACTGAGCCATCTCTCCAGCCCCGAAAACCACTGTTCTAAAGCACATAACAACCCCTTTACACCACAGCAGAAGTGCTGCCTCACCTGAACCCTTCTAAGATACACCTGCCTATGGCTTGCCTAACGCTCCAAGTCTGTAGGCCTCAGGCCACTGGAGCTGCTATGTATCACGGGTGAGCCATGTTCATTCTCTGGTCTGTTTGTGATAGTTATGCATTAGGTATAGTAATCATGCAAATGTAACTGAATAGTAAAAAAAGTATCAAATTTTGACATTCTAGAATTGATGTTATAAAAGAAACAGAAAACACTTTAAAAGGAAAGAGTTTGTTCAAAGAAAAGGGAGGACAAGATGGAGGAGGAGAAGGAGGGGGACGAGGAGGAGGAGCAGCAGCAGCAACAGCAGCAACATTAGCAGGGCATGAGTAAGAAAATTAGAAAAGATTATGGGTGAAATCCATAAAAATTCAAAAGAATTCTGTATTCCCAAATGTTTCAAAAGGTCTACGTTCTCCTTCATTTCAAAGAAACCCACATGGAAATTATGACTAAAATGAATACATAAAGGATAGTACAGTGCTCCACTCCACAGATCAAAATCCCAAGAAAAGGCTTTTTAATTAACAAATGTCCCAGTCACACCAGATATGACTTTCTATAGTATTTATAAAATAGGTAATAAAGAATACTGGATTTTCTGTGGAAGAGAGTAGAAAGAATGAAGAACCAGAGGATGGGGAGGTACACTGTACAAAGACATCTGGGCTGGCCAGATGGCTCAGTGGGTAAAGGCACTTGCTGTGAAGTCTGACCCACACGGCAGAAGGAGAGAACTGAGTCCCATTAGTTGTCCTTTGACCTCCTCATGCAGGCCGTGACATGTATGCACACACATACACCAAAAGGAATAAACGTAAAAAAACAAAGATGTCTTCTGGACATGACATGACTTTTGCACTCATGAACTCATTGTGGCTGTAGTTATCCACATAAGATCTGTAAGAATGGGCCCACCAACATTTATCATGGAAGATGGGGGGGGCGGTTCACGAGGCTCCACCCTTCCCTGAGGGTCTCTAGACAGCTAATGGTGGCTAGGGGAAGGGCTGCTGTCACTTTCTTCAGTGGTGTAGCCACTGGTAAGCTGCATATCGTCCAGTAAATAGCTCCCACCCAAGCTCATGCAGGCAACCAGGTGATCACACATACAATAAAGACATTAAAATAGGAGAGCTGCTGGGAAGGAAAGTTTCAGTGGAAGGGGGATGAGAAAAGGTAGTGGGGTTGTGGTGGTTTGAATGACAATGTCCCCCCATAAGCTCCAAGTATTTGAACACTTGGTCCCCATTTGGTGGTGCTGTTTGATGAGGGTCATGGAACCTTTAGGAAGGGTGGCCATGCTGGAGGAAGCATGCCACTGGCAGGCAGGCTTTGAGAGTATATACCCAAGCCCACTTCCAGGCTGGCTGTCTCTGCTTCCTGTGCCTGACTGAAGATGTAAGTATTCAGCTTTCTGCTCCTCCCCTCCATGATGGACTCTTCTCCCTCTGGAACCATAAGCCCAATAAACTCCTTTTATAAGTTGCCTTGGTCATGGTGATTTATCACAGCAACAGAAAAGCAACTAATATAGAAGTTGGTACCAAGAGTGGGGAGCTGCTGTAACCCTGTGTTTTGGGGGGGAATGTAAAAGACTTTTGAACTTTAGACTAGAAAAGTGGTTGAATGCTGTAGGGAGAGCTTAATGGGCCCCCACTCTAGTAGCAGCCTGGCTCAAGATGCTCCAGAGGGAGACAGAAGCAGGAACTTAAAGTAGGATATTTTGACTAGGAAATCTAGCTGCCAACTTCCCATGGCATAAGAGCTTGCCTGAGGCAAAATTAAAAAGTATTTCTCTGGCAGAGGAAATTTCAAGACAGCCTAATGTTGAATTGGTGGTGTGGTTATTAATGGTGAATACTATGGGGTACTACAGTGAAAAAAGGGCAGTGAGGCAGAAAGAAATGCAAAACGTACAATTGGATTGAAAAAAGAGCACTAGGAAATTTAATAATGTTGGAGCTGAGGTATGTACTGAAGGAGAGGCTCTCTTGGACAAGGAGACTGGAACCATTAAAGAGAAGCCTTCAGATCGTACTCTAACCAAGAAAGGAATGGCCTCAGGGCAAGACCCTATCCACCTAAGCTTTCTTGTGAAAGGAAAAGGCCTAAGGACAAAAACTATTGCTAACGTGGATGAATCCTGTCGAAGTCCATCCTAAGCTGGCAGCTAAACTTAGCAGTCATTCACGTGTGCTGGCTTTAGAAGCATGAAAGATGCAAGAGTGAGGGAGTCATTGGTTCTTCTTCCAGTTTCAGAGAGCTGCGGAGTCCAGACAGCGTGCAGCAGGGAATCCCGACATAAAGATGGTCCTGACAATTCAAGTGGCCCTCAGAGGCCATTGCATGAAGCCATGAAGGTAATGCCTAGTTGGCAATGGAGACCATGAGATGTTGGAGATGCCAGAGCCATGAAACATCTGCCAAGAACTGTATACAGGGAGTGGTACCAGCCCAAGAATAAGTTGTATGCTGCACATAGCAAAGATAGAGAGGCTGAGCCATCTAAGCTCTTTGAAAGTAAAGTCCCAGATATCAGCTACTGGATTTGGTGTTTGCCCTGCTGGTTTTTGGCTTTGTTTTGGTTTACTCACTATGCCCCCATTCCTCCTTTTTGGAATGTGAATATGTATTTGGTTCCATTGTATGTTGGAAGTCAGTAATATGTCTTTTGATTTTACAGGGCTTACAGTTAAGACAGAGCCTTGAGTCTCAGAAGAGACTTTGGGTGTTGGGCTTTTAAAATGTCCCCCATAGACTCCAAGTATTTGAACACTTGGTCCCCATTTAGTGGTGCTGTT